AAAGTATATGTATGTATATATAATATCTCTTGGTTTAATTTTATTCTGTAACTAACAAGTGACTTTTGGATACAAAAACAATAAAACCTCAATAATCTTTGTGGGAGAGCGTAGGAGGCAGCATCTATCTTTTTGAGACTGATTAAAAACAATAACTGCCAAATTAAACAAACTCTTCTGTATATGACATATTAGTAAGTAAAATGCTCCTTTATAATAACTTAGTCCTACCTGTTTCACAATTGATACCATTATAGCAACCGACACACGCACACACATAGTTTTCACACGAATCCACCTGAAAACACACACCTCCATTTAGACATGGGTCATCTGCACACGTTTCAGCTGAAAAACAATTTTAATTTGAAGGAAAACAAGGAATTTATACCATGATTTAGTTTGTTTAGTTGAAAATCATTTGTTTTTAAGTCTTTGGTTATTGCTAAACAGACAGGGTTGTGAGCGTTTGATTGTTACTAATTAGGGTGATGACAACCACAAAGGTGGCAGCAGTAATGACAGAGATGAAGATGAAAACAAGAATAAATAAGATGAGAAATAAGAAAAGAAAAGAAAAGTGACAGAACAGCAGGAGGAGACACACCTCATTTTAACTACAATATTTCATAATTTTTAAGACAAAAAGTTTTAGACAAGGCTAAAATCGTATTAATTTATTTATTAGAAAGACAAATTTGAGATACGTTACCTGTCACAGATCTTCGTACAGGGTGAACTGCAAAACAAAAAGGCATCTAAATATTTCAGAAATAATAGCAAAAACTTAACAAAAAAAATAACTTAACTTTGGACTTATGTTGGAAAATATTGTCAAATAATTATAGTTTAGGCATGCAATCATACAACTTGAAAACTACAACTAAAATTGTTCTAAGATCAAGTAACACAATTATAACTAATAACAGTATTAATATTTACATTATAACTGTAATTAAAATATTTAAAAGCCATCCCCATTCAGTCGGCATACTGTCTCCATTTTCATTACCTAATCTTTATACATTTACCAGATTTTTCTGTCTTACATTGTTTAGCTAGCCGTTTGCAATATTTTCTATACAGGCTTTAGTTACAGAATTATTCAATTCCGCATTGAGGATCGGATTCAACACTAGCCACTGCATACAATGGCTCTAATTGGCTCTGCTGGTTAAGACACAACGCTAGTTAATTTGAGAACATACTGAGCACACTTCAGGTAGAGGAAAACATCATTCCTTAAAAAAAAAATCTTACTTTATGGCAGTTAACGTTTTCTTTTTAATGATATATTGTGTGTAGTGTAATTGCATATATGTATCACTTAATAAAGTAAATATTAATTTAATAACTTTTCAGCTTAAATTTAAATGTTCATGAGATCCAGAGGTACGTTGGTCAGGAAATAATTGCCCAACTACAGTATGTACTCTACAAACTTGAATAGCTGAAAATACACAAGCTGTTTACCTTCAATATCTCGTCGCCTTCTTCCAATGGCTGCAAAAGAGAAGTGGTACACATTATACTTGATTTTACAGTGTTATAAAAAAATATATATTTACTGTGTATCATTAGTGCTGTTAATGAAGTACCATGGAAAATAAAATTGTTAAATGAATTACATATACCTGTTTGACAAATGTACATACTTGTCGTGAAAAAGCACTCTTGCCCAGCAGGGCAAGGATTGCTGTCACAAGGAGATGATGTTGTCCCTTTGTATCTTGAGTATATTTCCCAATATTTTTGGGCACTTATTGTCAGAGGTCACGGTGCCATAGCCTACAATTTTCATAATTCGAAAGTGAGTGTTTGATGTCGAATATATGAAAGGCTACATTCGGGCGTACGTTAATCCGTGGCGCAACTAGCGAGATGTCCAGACTGGGCGATTAACGAACGCTAGCGTAAGTGTTCACGCGAAATATTTCGCGCATTTTATTTCCACTTATCATAAAATCTTCTGCATTGATCAGACAGAACTAGTACTTGAAAGGTAGGTCCTTTTTATAATGTGGTCATGTTTATAAGAAATAATGAAAATTAAGCCCCTCACTGGTGCAGATGCAGGATTTGGCGGTAGGGGGTACGTGCAAAAATTAAAGAAATGGTAAAGTAAAATTCATCATCACATCACCATTATCAGCTATTTTCGGCAACCACTTTACTTTACCTACTGAGTTCACAACCACCTCGGCCCCACCGCCAAAATTTAAAGAAATAGTACCTTTAGATGGCCGGAAATGACACTTTTATACACTAACATTCACCATTATCACACCATCATTATTTAGTCTAGATGAAGCGCCAGCAAATTTCTCATGATCTTTAATCAGGGATTTTTGTACCATAGAAAATAAAACTACAGAAACACTTCTTTGATGTATTTAATATACTCGACCTACCTCAAAGCCGTGTGGCCACGTTCAACTCGGCCCCACCATGGTTGGGGCTGAGGTGAGAAAATTTGAGGAAATACAGTAGAACCCCTCCGTTGAGACAACCGTATTCAGGGAACACCTCTATTAAGGGGATGGGTACACTTTCTGATTGTGTCAAATGGTCAAATAACCCCTCTTAAGGGGGACTTTTTTTTACCATTGTATCACAACTACAGCAGTCTCAAAGTAAGAAAATTTCAATCAACTTCATATTTTAACACCAGAGTTTTCCCCTTTGAATTTTTAGAGTAAACGTCGGTATAGTCCTACTGAATGTGTTTACTTCATATACAGTAAACCAGTCTTGTCAATTTTGACCCTTAACCATAGGGATTTCGTTTCTTTTGTTCGTGTACTTTCATGTAGGATTCTAACATACCATAACATGCACCATTAATTCTAAGTTGTTCTATTCATGCTACATTCATCCAATAGAAAGTTCAATATTTTAAATATAAAAAGGAATATTTGTTCATTAACATTGCATCATGAAATAATGTTGGAAACATTTTATTATTATTATTTTATTATTTATGTCATTTATACAGCGCCTTTTCTTGGTAGATACAGAGCACTTCTTTTCCCCTGGTCATTGGGTTCTCATGTGTTAAGTGTTGCTGCTGGTAAACATTGTTGGAAAAAAAAAACAAGAATTTTGGTAGATATTAGTAGAGTCAAAATTTTGGGGGCTTTGCCCTTAGCCCACTTTCGAGGCATTTAAAGCGACGTTTTACCATGCCACTTTCTTCTCATTGGGGAAATTTTCCCCCCATCGGAGACATCACCCCTCCCCCCATGTACCTTAAAATCTTACCAATAATTCATATCAACAATATAATACAACAATTTTTTTTCCTAATACAATTTAAGGGGGTGAGATCGCACCCTCTGCACCCCCTGCCCCAGCCTCATATCCAAGTGGTCAAATGAAAGTGGTACAAATTAGAAGGAGGATTACTTTCGGATTTTGTCAGATGAAAATAAGTTGAATTGGTTATGATGGAATTGTTCAAAATGGAGTGTTCAATATTAATAGGTCCATGGTTCAACTATCTTACAATTACAACACATTATGACTAAATTATTATTTATTTACCATTTTTAATGAAAGTGAAACCCAATGTCACATACTGCTTGCAATTGCATCCCCCAAAAGACACATATAAAAGCTAAGTCTTATTATTACATCTTATTGATTTTTTTAAGATTATATACTGCACATATCCAAATATAAGAAAAAGATAAAGTATCTTGGCCAAGGATAAAAACAGTGTGATGAGCATCCACACACTTCTACATTTAGGTATTGGAGTTCTCAAGGGCGGATTTTGGGTCAGCCCTGGGCCCCTTTTAGAAAGTGAAAAAGGGAAAAGAAAAAATTGATTGCCCAAAACGCCTCAGAGGTTATTTTCGGGCATCTATAAAACAAAAATATTTGTGGGGCATGCCCCTGGACCCTGAGAATAATGTATTGTTGTCTTGATCAGCCCCACTTTTGGCCCATCTTTTGGGCTCCCCTTTTGGAGTTTGGATCCCTCCCTGGTTGTTTTTGGGGCGTTTAGAAGAAATGTGTGATAATGATGTTTTATGATCATTATATGTTATGCCATTATGACATGTCATGATCATTTAAAAAAGAATAAAATAGATTTGGGATAATTTACACTATAGGTCTAATTGCTGTGTTAAACATAAACTTGAAACTATTAAAAAAAATAAATTACCAGCAGATTCACAAGTGCTAGTATATGAGCTTGTACATGTACAAGAATATTCCTCTGCTCCAAGATCATTACAAGTCCCATTGTTAAGGCAAGGAGCATTGCACATTCGTGGTGGCCATCTTAAATTTGAAAATGGCTGCCATCCTAGCTTATTAAAACCATGTTTATTAGACTCACAGAGCCCAATAAACATGATTAGACACCAAATTGACCATTTTTTAATGAGAATTCATGGAATTATACTGAAATATTTGAGACCATTTTATGGTTTTCTAGGTTTTTGAAACATATCCCACTGAATTTAGTGACCCCAATAACACATACTTAGACACCAGATTTAGCCTTTTTATTGGGTATAAGTAAAGTTATGAGACACTATGTAAATTATGGTGGCCATTTTAAAAATGTCCGCCAATAATTTGTTCTGCCCTTTTCGAGGAGGTACCCCCACCCAATTTTATATTTATAACCTAGTGAGGCTAAATCAGTAGAGAACCTTAGTGCCCGAAAAAAGTCAAGGGGCTCTAATTTTCACTATACTACATGAGTATTACAAAAAAGCAACATACAATTATTATACAATTATGTGAGAAATTATCCATAATAATCCATATGTTAATAAAATATTATTATTTATATCCATAAACCGGTGGCCTACCCAAATAATAATATATGTTAATCAAATGATAGTATACCAGCCCCAATACCAGATTTGATAAAGGCTTATTGTTAATGTTAATGAATGCATTTGGAGACATACTTCTATTGATACAATTGGTATGTATAAAGTATTACACAAACAATAATGGCAAATTATGGACATACAGAATACATACCTAAATAAATAACTAGAAGATCATCTTCTTTTGAACGTTAAAAATAAGTGTGAAAAAGAGTTGCCCCAACCAAGATTCAAACTCGAGACCTTCTGCTATATGCAGATACATAACCAAATGGACCATTGAGGATTCCGTTTGGAATTTAAAACTTCTCATCCTCCACAATCTTTGTGCTAAGAACTCTGTTATTCTCTACAGTAGTATATAATTAACATTTTATACAAAACTAATCGGTTAGTGATCATTATTTGGAGTAAATTAATAATATAAAAACATTTACACAAGAAGATTTAGATAAATTTATCATTTTCACATCTTGTAAAACAAAAATGTTAAATCAGAATTTACCATATGTTTCGCAACGTGTGCCAGTATACGAGGTTGGGCATATGCAGGTGTATGATGTTACAAAATTGTTACATGCCCCTCCATTAAGACAAGGAGAACTGCTACACGGATTTGGATTTGATGAATCTGTGGAGAATAAAAATTTTAATTTCACTAATGGTTTTCAATTAACATAATGATCACCAACATCAGACTATTACATGTTCTCAATTAAGGCAATAGTACAACTACTGACTACACACAAAGAACAGCAACTATGAAAATGTTACTTGAAATACAAAACAAAGCATATGAAAGGTTTTCAATTACAGTAACATAATGATCACCAACATCAGACTAGTGTATGGAAGTGGTTGGCACATCGGTTGTGGTTTGGACTCCAACCTCGAGGTCGGGGGTTCGAAACTCTCGCTGTGCAAGTCGCTTGTGTCCTTCGGCAAGGCACTTTATCTACGGTTGTCTCTCTCCACCCAGGAGTACAAATGGGTACCTGGTAGGTTCAAACACAGTCTGCGCTGAATACAGCTGCAACATTATGGAATTCCCCCATGGGGCTTGAGTGTGTGTTCCATATGTGCTTGATCCAGTGATAATAATGTTCAAGCGCCTCGAGGTTGTGTCAACGTGAGGCGCTATATAAATCCAGAATTATTATTATTATTTACATGTTCTCAATTAAGGCAAAGACCGCTACTCTCATTAAAAAAAAAAAAAAACCCAGTAATACTTGAAATATAAAACAAAGCATACAGCATACAATTAAGCACATTTTGTTGCATAAATCATTAGTTTTCTGAAGTTTAAGGGGTATTGGTAAGAAGATGAATCGAGATACAAGATTGTTCAAAATGCATAATATAAAAAAGCAGAAAATGTAATATTCTGAGTTAAATAGACATTTACCAATACATTAATTGATTAGTGAGCAGCTTAGCTCAGTCGCCTAATCTGGTAGTAGCCACTGTGTTTTTTAACTGAACTGTTACTTGAAATATAAAACAAAGCATAAAGCATACAATTAAGCACATTTGTTGCATAAATCATTAGTTTTCCAGTGTTTAAGGGGTATTGTCAAGAAAATAAATCAAGATGCAAGATAAGTTATTTTTTGAAATACGTAATATAAAAAAAAGTGGAAAACTTTAAGATATGGCATGATTCTGAGTTAAAAAGACATTTACTGATATATCACATCTATTCTCTATAAAGTAATTAACATTTATACAATATAAATTGGTTAATAGAATATGAGTATGGTGACTCCGAAAAATGACAGACGTGAGGCCATAGTTGATTCTACGTTTCGTTCTTTATTGGAACATTGTCAAGAATGAATAGTTTAAGTCCAAAAATACTGACAAACATACCAAAAATCAATACAAGATAAATTTTGACCAATTAGAAAGAGGTAGGTGGAACATGGAGACAAATGATATTCTGATAAATAAATTGATAAAAAAAATAACATTGTTATAAACAAATGATTATTTCAGAACAAAAGCAAGTTAGCACTTATGCTATATGAATAATGCAAGCTCTTTAGAGGCTCGACCATAGTTTAGACTAGGCTTGTATCTTCTTATTGCTAAGGCTTCAGCAAATAAAATTTCAGACCAATGTAGAGAACCATGAATAATATTAATATTTTCAAATAATAAGGACTCAATAAGAGATAAATTGGTTAGTGATCATTATTTAGAGCAAATCAATAATATAAAACAAAATTTTACAAAACATTTAACAAAGAATTTACAATAAATACATTAAAGGAAATAAAACCAAACTTATTTCAAAAACAAGAAGATAAATTTGCCATTTTCACTTCCTGTTAAACAAAAAATGTTAAATCAGTATTTACCAAGCGTTTCGCAACGTCTGCCAGTATACGAGGTTGGGCATGTGCAGGTGTATGATGTTACAAAATTGTTACATGCCCCTCCATTAAGACAAGGAGAACTGTTACATGGATTTGATGAAACTGTGGAGAAAAAATATAATCCAATTTCACTAAAGGTTTTCAATTAACATAATGATCACCAACATCAGACTATTACATGTTCTAAATTAAGGCAAGAGTACAATTACTGACTACACAAAAAGAACAGCAACTATGCCAATGTTACTTAAAATATAAAACAAAGCATCCAATTAAGCACATTTGTTGCATAAACCATTAGTTTTCCAGTGTTTAAGGGGTATTGTCAAGAAAATAAATCAAGATGCAAGATAAGTTATTTTTTGAAATACATAATATAAAAAAAAGTGGAAAGCTTTAATATATGGCATGATTCTGAGTTAAAAAGACAGTTACTGATATATCACATCTATTCTCTATAACAAAGTAATTAACATTTATACAACATAAATTGGTTAATAGAATATGAGTATGGTGACTCCGAAAAATGACAGATGTGAGGCCATAGTTGATTCTACGTTTCGTTCTTTATTGGAACATTGTCAAGAATGAATAGTTTAAGTCCAAAAATACTGACAAACGTACCAAAAATCAATACAAGATAAATTTTGACCAATTAGAAAGAGGTAGGTGGAACATGGAGACAAATGATATTCTGATAAATAAATTGATAAACAAAATAACATTGTTATAAACAAATGATTATTTCAGAACAAAAGCAAGTTAGCACTTATGCTATGTGAATAATGCAAGCTCTTTAGAGGCTCGACCATAGTTTAGACTAGGCTTGTATCTTC